GCGGAGAAACGGGGGCGAAAAGGGGAGACGTTGTTACACCTTGAGACCCTAAAATCTTACTGAAGACAGCATCTGAGAATTCTAAGTCTAGCAAGACATTTGCTCTACTCCTCTAGATCTATCTGCCAAGAGAGTTTCAAAATTTTCTGATGTACCGTTCTCCAAAAACGCCGGAAAGGGGGGGGGTGCCCTTAAGTGGGTTGATGTCGACTCATTTACTAATCATCTCGAAGATGTTAATGATGAAGTGCGAACTGGTACTAGTTATCATTTTAGTGATTTAATCTTCATGGATGACTTTAATGGTCATTGTAAGTTATGGCACCCCAACTCAACCAAAGAAACTACTTCAGCAGGCTCGCACATATATCAATTTGCCAATAAATCGGCACTACTTCAACTAGGGTTTAATGAAAAGTTGCGTTTGATGCTGTGATAAAAATAAAGCGTTTTATCGATATCAACGAAACAAAAATGATAAAAATTTTCTTTCTTATAAAGAAATATCTAGGTCGTTTGAAAAGGAATGCAATACAACAAAAAATCACTATCATACGCAAATATCTGTTGATATAAGTACAAAATCAAAGAGATGGTGGACACTTCTCAAGCATTCTTTAGGCCGTACTAGTAAATCATCAATTCCTCTGGCAAACTTGTAAGTGAACCCAATGAGAAAGCTGATGTTCTAAACGACTATTTTGCTTCTATGTGTACGATGAACAGTGAGATGGTTGATGACATACCCAAACCAATTAAGACTAGTAAGACTATGATGTCAGTTTTTCGAATTTCTGAACCTGAAGTTTTGGAATCATTAAAAAGGATAGATTGTTCTAAAGCTTCAACTCCTGGCATATCGCCGAGAATGTTAAAAGAAGCATCATGGACTGTATCCAATATTTTAACTTATTTATTCAATGCCCTCTTTAAATCTGGCGATCGGCATGATCCGAGACACTATAGACCGAGGCACTTGGATCTGTCTTAGGTCCCTTACGTTTTCTAGTGTACATTGACGACTAATGTGATGACCTAATAAGTGTTACCAAATTGTTTGCTGATGATGCATCACTGCATATGATAGGCAATAATCTGCTGCAAATAGCTAATCAGTTAAATGGTGACCTTGACAAAGTGTATAAATGGTCTATTAACTGGAAACTACCCTTGAATCCAGATAAATGCGTATCAATGTTATTCACATTAATAAAACCTCCGCAAATGCTATCTACACTTCAAATTGGAGCAACAGTGCTCAGTTATGTTCAGTCGCATAAACACCTAGGGTTAATATTAACACCGAAATTGAACTGGACTAAACATATTGACTATCTGGTGCAAAAAGTGAACAAACTAATTGGGTTATTAAAACTTTGCAGTAGAATTCTATGTCGTCAGGCACTTGACGTGGTTTATAAGTCCTTCATCATGCCCTGTTTTAATTACGGTAGTATCATATATGGTAACACATCCGATTCCAATATTGAGCGTATTCAAAAGCTGCGGTATCATGCGGCGTTAGCAGTAACAGGAGCTATGAAGGTAGTAGTAATCAGAAGGTCTTGAAGGACATCGGCTGGGAGTCTATGAAGGAGTGCTTTCATCGAAGTAGAATTATTACATATCATACAATATTAGTGACTAAGTCACCTAATTATTTGTTTGACTTAATATCCTCTTCAACGAACAATTCAGTTCCCACTCATAACTATAATACTCGTAGTCAGCAAAATGATCAGCACTGGCAGCCATCTCCCAGAATAAAAATGTTTAGAGAATCTTTTTTTTACCAAGCTCGTATTGATTGGCAAGAATTACCGTTTAGTACACGAAGTATAACGAAGTTGAACTCTTTTAAAAAGAAAATTAAAACAACGGTCAAGAAAAGGCTTCCCATTGCAAATAATCGCTTAGATGAAATTCATTTTTGTCGATGTCGAGTTGATCGAACTCAGCTAAGACATGATCTGTACATTAGTAATCTCACCGCTGACCCGTACTGTGTATATGGTGCAAATGAGACACTTGAACACTTTTTCCTCCATTGTCCTTTATACAAAAAACCAACGAAAACTGCTATTCTCTGAGATTGTTGACGTAATGCCTACGGCAACTATAACAATGTCATTACTTATGCTATATGACTCTATGAAATATGAAGATATGATACAGATATATCACTCTGTTTTAAAATTCATATCTACGGTTAATCGCTTTAAACAGCCTGGATTCCCATCTGTCACGTATCAACAGTAAGTTCGATCGAGTGGTTGTTAAATGTGATGAGAGTAAATTGAGCTGCAGTTCTACTTTGAGCATCATTAGGTCCAATAAAACCATTGTAACCAACAGCGCAAGTGTAACATCTCTTTAAGGATAAGATGAGGATTCTTTTTTCTTTCTTTTTTCCTGATTTTTTCTTTTCTTGTTATGTTTTAGGCTCTTATGTTTACATGTATGTGTTTCTGTGTATAGTGCTAAAGTGGGTTTCTTTGAACCCTTTGTGCTCAGATTTTTCTTTTTAATAAAGCTTTAAACAAAAAACTAAGGTGTTTTTTAGAAAGAGTCGAAGGGTTTTCTTCACTCTGGATACGTTGAAAAAATTAACCCTACTGATGCTCATTGAGCGCATAATGCTATTCTTTTAATTTGCAACAAATTGTACACTTTGTAGAGGATACTTCAAGCTACTGTGAAGAATATATCCATTCTTCTCATTGACTTCCCATCCTTTTCTCTTCTCTTCTTTAGCGATTTCTCTCATTGTATGCATCCATTATTTCTTCTCATCGAATATCTTATATATCCATTCCTTCCACAGTTCATAATCTCTTGTCTCGCTTCACTAAGTTTCTAGCTTTTACTGTACATTTTCCTGAACTCTTTTTCTTTGGATCCGATTCACCACTTCTACTCACTTTCAAATGTGTACAGTCACGTTGTAGTTAATTTGTGTCAGAAATAAACTCATGATCGGTCAATTTCCGTTACAGCTACAAAATTGGTCGCTAAATGTTTTTTCGAAACTTGTTCCTAGTTCTGAAGATGATGAAAAATAAGAAGCGTTTTTAACTTACCTAAATCAAACAGTACCTCTTGTTCATCTGACATACTACTAATATCAGCTATGTCAGCACAAATAACTGTTTTCAATCGAATATCGGTTTCAATTTCAAATATAACATTACTCGCGAACATAAGAGCAACATTTCGACATCTACTTGTTGATAAAAAACCGTTTGTTGATATAAGATTTCCAATGTTAACTTTTAATCTATTCAATTCATCGCTTGGCAAATCAGCTCCACGATACAAATAAATAACTGTCTGTTCTTTATGGGTCTTTTTTAGATCTTTGTATTTTTTCATTAAATTCGAACTTAGATCAACGATAAAAAAACGGTATATAAACAATTCTTCAATATCCTCTGTTCGAAGGGCTTTGTTGACAAGCTTATAAATAAAACAATTTTTAGTATACCATTGTATTGCTTCATTTGTTTTGTATTTCAAATTAAATAGTTCAATGTTTTCTAGTTCTTTTTTATTACCACGATAATATTCCCGACATTTATCAATCATTTCTCGTTTAGATGCTGGTGTTTGTAGCATGTTTAATAAAACATCTTTGAATAGTTGAAAAAATAAAAATGAACCTGATTCGGTTGTTAAATCTCTTGTAGATTTCTGTTTTTGATCGTACAAATTCAATGTAATCAATTGTTTTTCAACCAATTTGACAGTTTTTTGAATGTTTTCTATGAGATCGTTTTGCTTAGTATAAATACCAACTACTTTTGAATAATCATTCATTAACAGTAAATATTTGTTACGTTCCATACAAAATATAAATACGGAATCTACTTGCTCTAAATCATGAACTCTTATCAAAATATCGTTTGCACATGAGCCCGGAATGACAAGAAATACTTTTTCATTTTTAATTGAGTAAATATATTCCACGCATGAATTTTGTTCATCATAAAATTTACAATAATCATTAATTTGTCGAAGTATTTGTTTTCTGAGAATTATTTCATTGCCATTTGATGAATGATCAATTTTATGTTCATCTAGCCAAACTAATGTTATTTCTTCTCCATTTTGTTTCCTCCTCTGAACTTCAGAGCCAAGTATATCGGGTGGTACACCAGTGTTTATATTAGTGAAAATAACGTTTGGTTTAGATGTTTTAATCCCCATTGAAATTTTTCTAAAATATGCAATAATGACTCAGTTCTTTTACAAAATACTCGCTAAAACGTTTTCTCAAGGTAATTAGCGTGATACTAGGGCTTTTTGTCTTCGGACTCTGCTGTGTTCAGACAAAACTAAGGAAAAAGTATGTATTTAAAGCAGTGGATGTACACAGAATCACAGGCAGGGACGAGCAAGGTTGAGATAAAAGTGGTAGGCCTGAATCGGAGCGAATAACATTCATGTCAGTGCACTTCCATAAATGTTATTTGCTCTAGTTCAGGTTTCAGATCCACAGATTGTTGATGTATCCCTTCCACTTCGCTCTCTCTCTGTGTTGACGATGCTTCAGATCTAGTAAACACAAAGGAAGTGAAAAATGTCTTTCAAAATGCGTCTTTATTGAATTTCTAATTTCGTCTGAATTCGTTGTAATGCTAATGTTCGTATCAGCAAGCCTCTAAATGATGAAAATCTGATCGTATAATTTCAGAACTTTCTATCATGACAGTGGCCAATGAAGGACATCCATTTTTGATAATGATACTCGTACATCCAACCCTGCAAGAACTGCCTATAAGCAACATATATTTCGTAATCTTGGTGAATATGAGATCCATAGTACTTGTTACGAAAACAATGTGAACGACGAATTTCCATCGATAACGAAGGTTGGAAACAACCAACCAAGTTCTAATACGTACACATCGAAACAACAGATCCCCCAAAACAAGCTTTTGAATCAACAGAAGGAAGAGAGGCAAAAGTAAGATCTATTCAAGCGTTTCGATGTCGGACTATTTAGGAAACAAGCAGTGAGATGCGTTTGATCAAACCGCTTCTGCAGTAAATCCTTCGGTCGAATTTATCGGTGATCATTATCTATGCGTTAAAGAGTCTCCTAATGGAAAAAATCATTACTCTAATTCCATTTTGAAACTCAATAAAATTTAGTGATTCTTTTTTCGGATTGTATACGCCGACAGTCCCTATCTGTTTACTATCTTAATTAACATCAATTACTAAAACATTCGCTAAAACACATTGCTGAATAGCGGGATATGACTTATGCACACCTGTTATACGTGCTCCGTATTAGCTCGTGAGCGATGAAGTATTTACACCAGGCAATGTAACATGATATTGGTTTGAGAAAATAGAGATGTCTTTTGCATTACAATGATAAGAATAATAGGCAGCAGCAGGTGAACTCATTGTCGCGTGTAACTTGCATGAGATAACGGGCATCCATCACCATACTCACCGCCAAGTCCCCACCATTTTGGAAATTGAATATTTCTATTATATAGAGCAAAAAAGATGACAGTATAAGATATAGAAACTCCACAATCCATAGCAATTGAAAATAACAATGCGTAACGTTCCTACCACCATCGACGAATAATTGAATTGAATATAAAACCAATTATTAGCCAAGATAGAATAATACCAGCTGGTACTGATACTGGTACCAGAGCTGCTACGTAACACATCAGAGGAAAATGAACATATTTAAACCATTTGATTTTCGGATATTTCTGAGTGGCCATCCAAAACAGAACCGGCACTATTCCACCAATTAAAAAAAACCACAATAGACTAGAATAAAGTCCATTTTTCCCAAATATCTTTGTTGGACCTAAAACAGCAAATAAAATTGAAAAATGGACGTAGTCTCCCACGGCTCCTTGAATGATCGACCTGTAAATCCATGAGGATGTTGCGTAATAAGTCAAGCTGTGTTTACATGACAACGCCATTTGTCAATGTCTTGACTGATTACACAACGTTCTTATGAATTTACAATTAGGCTAGTGCCAGAATTTCATATCCATGACGATATAAAAACTGGTTGTTTGTAAAAACTTTGAACTGTTAGCAGTATCATGAAGGATAGGATGGAGTTAGTGTATGAAATGTTTATAGTTGGTATATATGGTACAAAACGTCGTGTCGTGCTGGTTTCAAGATTTCAGTCAAAATAGTGCGTGTTATTCAATGTAGTTTTATATTAAAGAATGATTGAAGTACTGTGGACTCATCAGCCCAGTTGCTGTCCAATCCTGGCTAATGTATAAGATGAACTGCAAAATCCGATATCTGTTCAAAATGCCCGTCTTATAACAAATCCAATAGAAACATTTAAAAATTTTCCGAAAATCTTTTTTCTAGACCGTTGACTGCAAGGAAAGAAAATAGACGAAAAGACACATATAAAACTACAATAGATATACCTATCGCACCCCATAAAATTGCTAGAGAAAAGGAATAATGTGTTTGAGCACAAGACCATTTTTGGTTAACATTTGTACAAATATTCGGAATAGTTGTGAATAAATAATTAGCAATTGAATAACTACATACAGAACAAAATATAGTTCCAATAATTATTGTCAAAAACATAGCACGAGGTGGAATTTTCATATAGTGACTCAATTTTAAATATAATAATAAATTTAATGTTTGATAATGTGTCATAAAATCATACGCTTTAAATGTTGCAAATCCGATTGGGTTTCCCAGCAAAAGAATACCACCGATAAAATCTATCAAAATATTTGTATCTATAAACTGATTTGTATTTGCTACAACAATACCTGCTGGTAATATATATATAAATGCAATCGGAATAACCAAAAATAAATAGTACCATGACATAAATTTTGCTAGATAACAAACAATACAAGCAGCAATAAAACTAATGATAAATAATATTGTATACCACCATTCGGGTACTTCTGGATATTCAGCCATTAATTTACAATGTATATCATTATCTCGATGGAACAGAGACATACGAAAGTGTCTTAAAATATCTTTACCATGGTATAAAATTGTATGAATAACAAGTGATGTTAACAGAGCAAACAAACAGCCATATGATAATGCAGCAGAAGCAGTCATATGTATTGGACCATACTGTTCATAGGCAGTCTTATTAAGACGAAAATTTTTATCAAGGATGGCGGTCATGTTGTATCGAACACCATTTAATGTGTATAAATTAGTGTTTGCAACAGGAAACAATTTAGAGTTCCATATATTTGTATAATACAAAATAGGTGTCAGTATCCAAATTACGATAAGAAAGCCAAAAAGCATATTGAAGAGTGCATACCGTGGAACGACTATAGGTGTTAGCAACCAGGAGGTTATTACATTCCAATCAATTATTAAGCTACCCATACCAAGACTATTAACACCGGTAAGTTGAGAAAGAATAATATTCTTTGGTTTTATCACACAAATAAACGAGAATGCAGTTAATATAGGCATGATATACCCAGGTAACCAGTAATAAATCGTTTGGCAAGCAGCAACAATTATAAAAAAATTTAAACGAGTCATTTGAAAGAACTGAAAATGACGATTGAAGGATGATTGTTCATGCAGAGTTCGAAATAATGCAATTGAAGGTAAAATGCCAGGCCATATCAATTCAGAAGGCCAAACTAAGAAACGACGCACAACACCTGAAAAATCAAAAAAAAAGCAACTAACAGTAACAATACTGGTTCACTTGATCTAATTGGCTCGAAAAGTAGGACTTTTATATTCAGATTACTGGAGAAATATCTTGTTGGTATGGGAACAGCTCAAACCGAAAGTCAAAATGTAAACTGAGATTTACTGGCACTCAGAGCATCTTACGTTCCGATTTTCAAATAGAAAAGGTGGAGAAGAGCTTGAGTTCGATGTAGACCATTCTTTAAGCAGCCGCAAACTGACGAAAACGCGAAAATTGACGATTTCCGCGATTTACCATGTCGATTAATCATGAGATAAGATCGCTCAAACTGGCGATTTTTGTAGAAAAACGCCATTAATCTACACTTTTATCCTCAAGATAACGTTCGAACCGGTCCATCGTTATTAGTCAATAACGATGGACCGGTTCGAACGTTATCTTAGCCTTCTCGTTTGTTGTTAATTTTGATTCACATAAAGTGCTTTTCGCCACTTTATGGTGATTATTATTTCAGAAAAAAGAAGTAAAACGACCCACACAGAGCAAAAGAAGAAATCGGAAACTTTCTACAGTACACACACGGACAAATAAGTACAGTTTAAGAGAAGAAAAGAATAACGAATTTTTTCGGAACAAAAAAATAAAGCGCATCTGCTTCATCACTCGTTCAATCCGTATCATTATCAGAAGTACTCTAAACAGTTTGTTGATGATTCGCTCTTTCTTTGCATTTGCTGTCTCACTCTTCTTCTGTCCCTAGTAGAACTTCTTGTACCCAAGACCTTCGGTTATGAAATGTCACAAGATCTCATCGCTTGAACTCATAACTCCTTGTATGTGTGATTTGGCCCATATTTTGTGTATGACTACTACTTATACTTCTCTTTATTGACCAAACGTTTGGGCTCAGTCATGACTGAGCTCAAACTTTTGGTTGATTCTGAGTGACTAGTCACTCAGAATCTCACGGAGATATAAATTTTTCACTGGAAAATTAACTAATTCGCCTCACTTCATGTGATCGGGTTCGATGTCGAAAACTTATTCTGAGCTCTTTTTTCTGAGCCCATGTACTTTCGAGGTTCTCATGCGTCATGTTTAAACGATAGGTAGGCCTCTGGAAGTGGTCAGTGGCGTCCAAACCAGGGCTGGGCAACTCCAACTCCGGAGTTGACGATTTTTTCGATGGAGCTGGAGTTGGGTTTTTGATTTTTTATTCTCAACTCCGTTTTGCATTTTTGGAAATATTTATACTTTTAAGCTTACATTCGTTTTAATACATTGACAACCGTTTAGAATACAGCCACTTGAGTGGCTGTGTTTACGAGTGAATTCGGAAGTTCTTTGCGCTTTCCTGCCGGAAAAAGCCCAAAAACGTCCAGAATTCTGCTAAAACCGAAAAATCTTCCTTACAAAAGTGAAGCAGCCGGAGTTGAACTGAAGTTGAGATTTTTGTTGAGAGAGTTGAAGTTGGAGTTGAAAAATTTTGAGCGGAGTTGGAAATTTGAAAATGGAATTGAGTTGGAGTTGAAAGTGAGCAGAGATGCCCAGCCCTGGCCCAAACCACAGTAGGTGGAGGCTCGGAAATTGCGGCAGGTTGTAGAGCGACATCTGTTGTATATCCATATGTGTTTAGAGCAAGACTTTACCATGTAGATTTTTGGAACGGCATCACTCTTCCAGAAGACACATCAAAACGACTTCAAAAGAACGGCTAAAATACGACTAACGGGAACCGACTTCAGTGTCTTCCATGAGACTTAGAAGTAGATGGATGGATGTGTTTACTAGAGGTAGTCGCATGATGTGTCTTCAAAATAGGCGCAATTATGCGACTAAATGGGAACCGACTTCCGTGTCTTCCTAGAAGTCACATTTTTTTTAGAGTACAGACTTGCACATTTTGTTTCGACAGGTACAGCATGGTAGATCTTTTCGATAGGGCGGATTTCTTTTTCTGAATTTTTTTCAGAAATGAAAATTCTATTCCGCTTATAGTACGCAGAATTTGATGGTGCATCTTTCTTTAAATTAAAATGGATTATATATTTGAAATCGCAGGCAAGTTTTAAAAAAATACTTTTAGTACCGAAAAAGGAGTATAATGGGCTTCTCTGCGAGTACTTGTCCAGTCATGGAGAAAATTTGAGGCTATATACAAATTTTGATGCTCTATCGAACTACGCAAAATTAGCCATAAATCATTACTTGTTGAATTTTTTGAAATTTCAGACCGATGGGTACCTTATGCGGTCGTATACTTTGTAACAGCTATTTCTCTGTCAAAATGCATCCGTTCGCCGAAAAACTTTTCAGGGTATATGCAGTTTCATCTGCTCTACAATTTGATTATAAAAGATCAATATTGATAGAGGGGTACACCCCTCTTAAATTCCTGAAAAATGCAGTTTTTCAGAAATTCCTATCTCCCGAAGAAAACATCGGCCAGAAGTGAGGGCATTTTCTAAAGGCTTCTCTAGTCATAGACTACATGTGCGGCAAGTTTTTCAGTCAGATTTTTCAGTCAGATTTTGCATGAAATCCGGCTGTTTGCTGCAAAAAACCAACTAAAAATCCTGTGTCTGAACAAGGAAGCATCATGGGCACGAACCAAGCTAGGGTCTTCCTCTGCACACTAGAACCTATCTACTAAAATAGGTTGGTGATAAAAAAATCTAAAAGGGCCATAGGTATATCCTTGCACAGCTATGTTCAAGAAAGAAAAAAAGCTATTCTATTATTCTATAAGTATGAAAATTTTCGCAGTTATATGTAAAGAAAAGTGTGAAACAAAACGGTGGCTCCAGAATTATCAAGATTGGTGCAAGAACTCAGGAAATTTAAAGACGTTCAAGATCTTGGATACTTGGAACTTCGGATACCAAGAAATTCGCCGTAGTACACTTTCGCCGTGAACTTTCGGCAATTGCCGAACAGAAGCAAGCAGCTTGAAAAGCAACCACGTTGGTAATCAAATGGTTTCTGACTGGAGTGTTTGGTATTGAAATAATCCAAAGACTTCAAATCAAGTTATTGATTAATACTTTCATGTTAGCAACAATTTTAAAACTTATACCCATTAATAATATTAATCTCTCTCTTTCTTTCTTCGCTACTGCCGTTGTTTGTCTCTTTGCTATTATCAAGCTGAAAAATGTCAGTCATCTATAACAAAACTTTCGGCAATTTGCTGAAAGTTCAGTTTTACTCGAGAGTGATTTTTAATCGATGGCATGACTTTCGGCAATTGCCGAGAGTCCACTGCCAAAATGTACGACGGCGAATTTCGCGTTGCCTGGAATTTCTTGACTTTCTTAGTTTTCTTACTGAGATCTTGAGTCAAGATTTTACTGAAAAAATTCAAGAAGTCAAGATCTTAATTACAAGAAGTTTCACTAGAATGCTTTTCACCGGTTTGCGACATTTCTACCAAAATAAAACAAATAACCAAAATCTAAAATACAAAGAAAGCAAACAGGATTAGCTGAAAAGAAATAGTAACAGACCTTGATGAATGCAAACAGAAACCATCAGATACGGTTGAAAGTTCTTGAAACAGAGCTGTCTTAGACTTAAAAAAGCAATCCACCAGCGGGCAGAAAAGAAGTTACCAGTTGGCTTACAGACGATTTGGAAATGAGATATTCTTTATTTGTGCCTTTTCTCTACTGACAAGGAAAAGCGTGTTTTATGCAAAAGGTCAGACAGGCAAGCATACTGCTAAAAAAATATGAAAACGTAAACACACAAAGAACAAATACCGGTCGTCATAATACTTTTTTCTTGGTCAAAACTATCATCAATAAAAATTCAGTCTGAAACTTTTATGCTGAAGCACTCTATATATATATATATTCTGAAACCGATTTTCAGATCAGAAATGACCCAGAGTTGCTATTTTTGCTTCCTTAAGCCAAAAAAATGTGACGTTAAAAGCTTTTATTCCAAATAGTTGTCTGGTATTTTTACCCTTTAGAAATCGCCGATTCATTGCGATTAATCGCCATTATTCAACGAATCGCCGATTAATAGTGCAAACTTAGGCGATTTTGGCGACATGGAAATGCACAATTGGGAAAATTGACGATTCATCAATTAGTAGTTTATTCAAGGGGGAAACAGCTGATTTTTCAGCTTACAAAATCGGTTTAAATCGAAAATCACCCAAAATCGGCAAAAATCGGAAAAGGCATTGAAAATTGGAAGAAATCACTGAAAAATCGCTCAAAAATGACTGACACTGAGAAAAATCCTTTCTTAAGCCGTATCTGTTCTACTACGTCACCTAAATGGATCAAGCTTACTCCTTTCTGTTTTCTTACCTCTTGCAAGATTTTTCTTATTTCTTACTCACTGTTGTATATATTTATTGATACCAAGAATATCGTAGAGTAAAAGCAAGAATAACAAAAATAACAAAGTTCTGCACTATTTATCCCAGTCTCTTTACTTGATTTCCCAAACAAATCAAAGAAAATCGAAAAAAAGCGGTGAAAATCCAAAAATCGGCTGTTTTCCGCTTGAATTTATTAGTAATAAGTAAAGTAATAAAGGATTATTACTTGAAAAAAGTAATAAGTAATAAGGTAATAAGATGTATTACTTGTTTCCTGGTAATAACTGATACGTTTTATTACTTGTCACTTTGCAATGAACAGTAAAGGGGCCCTATTAATGAACAAAAATATCAATCCCTAAATCCAGCTGAAGTTCGTGTACCTTATAGATTTTCCAGAGACGAGGTTGCCTAGAACATACTTTCATATGCCATTCTGTGTATATTTATAGCTTAAAGCGCCCTGGATAACCAGGTAAAAAACCGGAGAAAAATCTTCTTAGCTCTCTCATCGACTAACTATTGTGTCAAAGCTACATTTCTAAGATGCACGTAATTCAAAATTCATACACTATATTGTTTACGGCTTATTTATATATGGTTCGACTAGAGCACGTCGAGCTGATTAAGAATATGTAGTGTTTTTTATCAACAAAGTTGGTTTTTGAATGAAAAAATGTAAAAATACTGCAAAGGTTTTAAATTTTAGTCAGTAATTTTTCAACGTGAAAATTCAAAAGAACTTGTAGTGGTCAGATAGGATAAAAAAGTATATCATTCGACTCACGAGGGAAGTACCCCAACTGATAAATCGCTTTTTGAACGAAACCTAGTGGACTATAGATAGTCGATGATGCTGATTCCGAATATCACCATGACTGCTGCTGCTGGGCCTTCAAAGACCGGTTTTATGAAAAACCAGTTTTCGAGAAACTCTAAAGAACAACCAAAAGCTTTCTTAATGAGGCGTAATTGTAGTCCATACATTTCTGATTAAAACGAGGCATCAACCAACTCTACACGATCTTTCTTTGCAAAGTTATAGAATTTACAAGAAAAGCTCTAAATTCCTTTTTCCTTTTTCCTTCTGTAGCTCTCAGGTGACAATGAGCATTTAAGGCTTTTCTTGTAAACTCTATAACTTTGCAAAGAAAGATCGTGTAGAGCTGGTTGATGCCTCGTTTTAATCAGAAATGTATGGACTACAATTACGCCTCATTAAGAAAGCTTTTGGTTGTTCTTTAGAGTTTCTCGAAAACTGGTTTTTCATAAAACCGGTCTCTGAAGGCCTAGCAGCAGCAGTCATGGTGATATTCGGAATCAGCATCATCGACTATCTATAGTCCACTAGGTTTCGTTCAAAAAGCGATTTATCAGTTGTGATACTTCCCTTGTCAGCTTTTGACGCGTATTCTGAATATGATATTCTTATTTCACAAAGTTGACTTCTAATCGAGAAAATTGCGAATTACAGGCAGAGTTACGATTTTTTCATTTCTGATCTAGAAAAAATGAATTTTCTACATGAACTTTCACCTCCATCTGAAAGCTTGGAGATGGAACAAAACAAAAATTTTCATAACATGACACATTACAATAAAGAAAAGTAGAAAAGTAAAATAAGTAGAAATTTAAATTTGGGATTTCAAGTTCTAATATGGCCTGCGCGATTTAGTTTCCTTTAATTAAAAATACGGAAAAAAGCTACTTTTAAAAAAGTTGAGGATTTAGTTCCCTTTTCTTTAGTTCCCTATATCAATTAACTAATTAAAGAAAAGAGAATGTATAACTTTGTTTTCTATTCTGCCATTCAATTAAGAAACATAATGTAAATGTGACTAGATTATTAACTAAATGTAAGCTAAATTAATTTAATTAACTAAGTAGTATAAATGTAATTGAACAATGTATGTAGTATATATCAGAAAGTAAGTATATAAATCGATGGATAATCTATAGCTTTATCACACTATCACTCGAAATTTTAAAAGCATAATCAAGTCGAAAATAGAATATGTACAATCAACTCATGGTAAAACTCATGGTAAAACTCATGTATGTTATGAAGGTTTTCGTTGTTATTGTCACCATAAAAATGATGATGATTTAAAGTATTGGAAATGTGTTAAAAAATCTTGTCGTGTTGGCTTAACAATAAAACCAAATGGTACAATTAAGAAACGTGCTGATCATGGTCACTAGCCAGATGAAGCTGACAAAAAAGTGTTGATTATACGCCAAAATTTAAAACGCAAAGTGGTTGAATCATCATTACCAATTGATGCTATCGTCGATCAAACATATGCTGGTCTCCAGAATTCAACCGTATGCCAAGATGTTGTAGTTCAGTTACCATCTATTGCAACAATGAGAAATAATCTTCAAAAGGAACGTCGCAAAACAGTACCACCACTTCCCAAGAATATTACCGAGTTACCACATCCAATTCCAATTAACTACCAAAAGAGTTTAAATGGCGAATAATTTGTACTTTAGGATGGTTTAATAGATGGTTCGCGATGTATTACATTTTCGACACCAACTGTTATGTTATACTTATCTCAAAGTGAAATGTGGTACTGTGATGGAACATTCTACGTTTGTCCATCAATATTTTATCAAATTTATTCTATCCATGGGTATAATGATGATGGTATTATGGCACCTTACGTATATTGTTTATTACCTGGCAAATCCGAAACATTATATACTGGTACGTTTGAAAAAATTTCAACACATGAGCCAAATGAATTTACCAAGACGATTACGTCGTGTCACAATCGATTTTGAATTAGCTGTAACGAATATATTCCACAAATATTTTCCATATGTTGAAGTAAAGTATTGTTTATTCCATTTCGGACAAAATTTATTTAGAAAATTTCAGGATTTAGGTGCGTGTTAAAGAATCTCATAGTAAATACGATATATCACCCAAACGTTTCTTTCTTTAGGCTTACAGGCAGCGTATAAAGATGACGAACAGCTGCGTATATGGTTCAGATCATTTGCTGCTGTGGCATTATTACCACTTTCGCACATGATATTCGGTTTTAATTATTCGATACAAGACAAATCAAACTATCCACAACTGACATGTTTTGTATAGTATTTTCATCAAACATATGGTGCATTTAGGACTTTTCCACCACCCACGTACAATCATTTTATGAATTTCTCACCACGCACAACCAATCATGTGGAAGGTTGGCATTGAAATGGAAAATACATAGTACAGCGGCTTAGATATTTAAATATTTAGAACATTAGTGCCCGGATTTTTTAACACATTTTCAATACTATGAATCATCATCATTGTTATTTATTTGTATTTATACTACATACATAGTTTAGTTAATAATTTAGTCACATTTACATTATATTTCTTAATTGAATGGCAGAATAGAAAACAAAGTTATACATTCTCTTTTCTTTAATTAGTTAATTGATATAGGGAACTAAAGAAAAGGGAACTAAATCCTCAATTTTTTTAAAAGTAGCTTTTTTCCGTATTTTCAATCAAACGGAACTAAATCATGTAAGCCTTCTAATATCCACGCAATTCGCATTAAATCGGAAACTAATCAATTCTGAGCCGACTGACGTTTTTCGATTAAAAAAATAATGTATCGCTACGGAGTTATAAAAGGAAGTTATAAAATAGCTGCCACGCCAAAAAAACTAACTCAAATGTTGGCGCAGTATCGATGTATCTACCACTTCTCTAAGTAAAAATATATGGATTTTACTGTTAGGTAAAGTGTTAGGTACTGAGGATTGCACCGTTCTCGTTTTCGCATGGAAGCTATTTTTAAAACTTTTATTACTCAATAGCAATTAGGGGTGCCACTTTACTGTTTTTTACCAAATGATAAGTAATAAATCGTAGCAGTTATTACCAGAAAACAAGTAATAAATCTTATTACCTTATTATTTATTACTCTTTTTAAGTAATAAACTTTTATTACTTTACTTATTACTAATAAGACGAAAAGTAATAAGTAAATAATGAAAATTTATTACATAAAGAAGTGATAAGTAACAAAATAAAAAGATTTATTACCTTTTTACCGGTAATAAGTGATAAATGCTTATTACTTTTACCGGATAATATAATAATTAGTAAAAGTAAAGCAGCACCCCTAATCGGGACCTGCTGATACAACGAAAAAGATATAGTTACTAAGAAATCATTCGGAGGACTTTCATTTGCGTTTCCGAAAAATTGCAACATGCCATGCACTCAAAATTTTGAGTATTTTTCTTAGTGGAACGATTTTTCGAAATTCAAGGCCATTTTTTTCATTCAAAAACCAACTTTGTTGATAAAAAACACTACATGTCCCTAATCAGCTCGATGTGCTCTAGTCGAACCATATATAAATAAGCCGCAAACAACATAGTGTATGAATTTTGAATTACGCGCATCTTACGAAAAACGAGAAGACTGTCTTTCCGTAGAGGAGACGTGCGAATATTTTTTAACAAAACGATTCTTTATTATCTGCAATACCGAATCCCATCAGTTGTGTTGAAATAAGAAGAATAAGCCCAATTCCGAAATTAACTGTTTCAGTACCCAATACTCGTTTAATATCAACAATAGTCATAGCATATGATGAATATGAAGAAGCAGCCATGGAATAAATCACTACATGTTCCTTTATGGAAAATGGGCCGGGATTCAACGAAAAACACCAATTACCACTAAGTCCAATCTTAATTGCTCTCTTGGGCAAAATATATGCTAATAAAATACCAAAAGGATATGATACTAGAGGTATAAGTGCGTCAGTAATATATATTGAATTAGTCGAATAATACAAGTATTGATTCACAAATGCTAGACCACAAGCAAACATTAAACCAATAAACCAACTTCTAAATGTTAAACATAACATTTCTGGATCATCTTTATTTGATACAGTACCAGCTATTTCTTCATAAGACGATTGATCTGCATCAATATAATCATCTTTAACATCTAACACTTGTCGTCGTCTTTCATTAATTTCATAAGTGCTTCTTGTATTTGAAATTGAACGATTGTTGTCATTAGAAGGATTTGTATTAGTTTGTAGTGTAATCTCGTTCAATGGTACAGTGTAAATAAAATTTCTGACATTCGCCATTTTGTCTACAGTCAATTACAAAATAATAGCGCCCCTCATGCTTTTGTCTTAAAACAAATATTACATTTTGAAACGCGATGTTATTGATTTGAAAAAACGTCAATGTCCTACCGGCGCTCTGATTCTCGTCCACGTGTGCGAGATGGAGTGGAGACGGAAAGACTTGTTCTATATTAAAAAACTATCTGCGGTTAACTCATTTTTCTCAAAATGGTCTTTGAGCGTACTGTAACTATTAATCAAAGTTGTGCATCTAGTTTTGGATGATCGTCTATTACGTGGTTGTCTTTTCCCCATAAATCAGCAACGATACAAAAAATCGGACGATGTTGCACTGCTGCCGCATGTCATTGCTGCCAAATTAAAATGATTCCGAGAACTATAGCTGCTACTGGAAAGACGAGATCTTTTTAATGCCAAAAGCCCAGTTTCGACTAGTGCTGTGTGTGGCGGTTATGGACGAAGCTTGAAAAAAAATCATTACCATGCTTTTGTATAATCAATATTGACAAAAAAACTGTTTCGACCGTTTGCGGTCTTAAGGCCACCCCCCTCCCTCCCTCCAAAATCGATTTTCGATACAGTGCATGGGATTGGCACGAAAATTCTCACAAATGTTGGGCACATTAAAGTTAAGTTGTAAAATTTTTTTTTCGCCTCCAGACCTCAGCGTTCAGGAGTTTTTTGGAGGCCAAGACCCGAAATGGACCATCTGCCAGTACAAATTCTTTTTCACTATACTTCAAGATGCCCGGGGTGGTTTTATTCGAAGGAGAACTGTTTACCCCTTCGGATGAGGGGAAGGAACCTTTTTATTCTTGCTTTCTTTAATTTTTGGGAGCATCGAAACCTCTAAAACCTTGAAATACCATCAGAGGTGTTCCAGATACACGCGATTTTCTACAGAACTAGAGCCCAATTAAAAGATTCCTTCCCCTCATCCGAACGAGTATCGAGTACCCTAATAAATAAATAAAAACCGCACCTCTTTATAATGAACTATATTTTAAAAGAAATTGCTCGAGATTTAACCACTAGCACAAAAATCGATTATGAGAAAAACTCTTTCTACACGAGACACGCTAAGTAGCGATTTTTGAACAACTCAAAGACGATAAAAGATAGAGATCTTGGGTTTCAGTAATCGAAAGAAACATTTCTGCCTACGTTTTCTTAAGAAAAATCCTTTTTGAAAAATATTCGGAAGATCGGTTTTCTAGTAGGTCTTTAGAAAACCTGTTTGAATCTCCGGACACTGAGATAGCAATCTATCACTTTTTCTCCATAAGTATATAGTCCAAAGTGTGGACTCTACAAAATGGGAACCAAGCGAATTCTTAATTTTTCCTGGTTCAGGTGTGGCATCGCAGTTCGTGAGAGTCCCAAGATCAATATTTCTTTAGGTGTGGTAATTCCGAAAACGAATGGAAACATGGATAATCAACCACGCTAAATCTCGTGGCAACATTTATTTCTCAAAAAAGTTCCAAAAACCTAGTGAAGACCTATATGAGCTGAAATAACCCATTTTTCCCTATTTTTCAGTAAAATCAAAAAAATTCATAGCTCAGTCAAAACCCATTCAAATTATGCAAAATTATGCAAAAATGGGTTATTTCAAAAAACGCACAAAAGCCCGTGCTAAGAAAACAAGCATTTTCTATAGTAATTATTTTATTTCTCAGCGAAAGTATGTTAGTAAAACTTCAGGATATATAGTTCGAAGTATCCTTTGCAAACTTGGAGAGTCGGAGGAAATCTAATGGGGTATAATCTCCTAAACTTATATAAACTAATAAAGCTTACTTGGCTCTTACAGAGACAAATTATGATTTGTTACTGATTCCTAAACTGCATATAATTTGGATAGTAGCAGAAAGTAGTACCAAAACTTTATTACAAGATGAAATGCTACGTTCTGGCTGTGATCTACCATTAAAAAAAATATGATGATGATTGAGTTTTCTTTTCTAACTTTTTTTCTTTCTTTTTCTTCCACCTTATATGTTATTTGCGTATATCAAACCTATTCATCAGTCCATATTATTAAAAGAAAAGAAACATTTTTAATTATACAAAAATGCATGATGCCATGCATGATGACTAAAATCAGTAATTATAAATAACTCAAAATAAAATACGAGTTGGAAGAAACCAGCTAAAGTCAATCAACGTCATACATTTTCTTTATTGTAGAAGAAAGACATATCCACATCAATACTCGGTGTAGGACGGCGATCAAAAGTATAACAGACAAAAACAAAGGCTCATTTCTCGCTCTTTCTTCTCAAGGGTGTGTAAAGCTACGTTATATTTATTACTTATGCCAAAAAACGGACAACTATTCGCCAATTACAAGAAAACGAAATTTGGGGCGAACCTTTAACAGCCCAATGCCAGAGGATGCTCTCGAAGGGACAAAGCGTGAGTGCCGTGTAGAAAAAAGATCACACCAAACGTTGCTTGGTTTGACCGTTTTTGGTAGCATGGCGGATCGTATGAAGTAGGCATGCACCGATTTCGATTAAACATTAAACATAAAGAAGTGATAAGTAACAAAATAAAAAGATTTATTACCTTTTTACCGGTAATAAGTAACAAACACTTATTACTTTTACCGGATAATATAATAGTTAGTAAAAGTAAAATAGCACTCCTAAGA